TAGATTTGCTGACAGGCGACAATGATATCTAACAATAGTATTCTGGACAAAATATTGGCAAACTGTACAGAATTCGTAGCGTTATTTGTTGCACAGTATCTTCTTCTTGTTCACAATATTTAAGTAAAATTGCAGCAGACAGCATGTCTTGCGATACAAAGTCATTCTATCGGAATCGCAAACCGATTCCTTTCTATATTCATCCTTCAAAATGTACGTAGCAGTAGGTTGAAAACCCACTAAAACATATACTAGAGAATTCTGCAACTAAATGAAAAGGGTGAGTGATTGAAACAATAAAAAATGAAAGAAACTTGATGCATTACAGCGAATAAAAATTTAGCAGTGGATCACAGGTTCAAGTGGGCTGCTAGTTTCATATGCAGAAACCTGAGTTACGCGACTAATTATTTATGTAGAAAGGTGTCTAAAATGAATTACGACATCACGTATCACCAACAAACAAGCAGAACCTACAGTCGTAATCAAATTCCTACCAGGGCATTCATCGGTTTTGAACAGGACTCTGACAGCGTCGATTACGAAGTAGTTTTAAATCAATCCAGCACTGTAGAGTACGGCGACTCCGACCTATACAAAACACGTTCAGCAGTTACATCATGATACCACATGTCACGTGACTCACAGCGGAAGGCTCAGCGGATTCTTCGAAATGAAAGGATTAAGATAAGGCTGTATCCTATCACCGATGCAATTCCTAATTTGGGGTAGACGAGATTACATGACGGACTATAGAGATTAAGAAAACGGGAATACATTGGACCAATAAGAAGGCTGTAGAAGATGATGACATATGAATTCTAAGACTTACGAGTGAAAAGCAACAAGGACAGGACATAGAGAAGACAGAGGTGATGACGATAACCAACCAGAGCAACGAACAGCACTCACCATTGACGAAAGGGATCTAAAGTCACTTCATTCACTCAGCTGTACAGGTAGCACCGTTACGCAGATGAATATTTTGCAGAGGGATCTTAAATGCAAGGCAGACTATCATTTATCTGAAGTCAGCCTAAAAACCTGCTACACTAAAAATATAAGGAGGAGGAACCCAATCCTCAATACTAGTGCCAAGTCCACGAATGCTGCTGTATGGTTCAAAGATTTGGCATGCGACAGAGAACATTTCTAACAGGTGGCTACAGACTTGCTTTTGCTGCCTTCACAATTCATATCAGATGATCAATTAGTCAGAGATGAAAAGTAAGCAAGAAGGGATTTTTTCAATGAACTATTCAAGAACCTATTGCACAACAAATCAGCTCAAAGTAAAGGGATCCTCCTCTAATATATATATATAGCATTTCTGTCACAATACACAACAATTTACCAATCAACTGGCGATATGTTTGTTAACAATAATTTCTATTTTGAAATCTGCAGAAGGAAGTGGAGTTGGTAAGTGAGATCACGTATCAGTTAAACTTGCAACCTGAATTCAAACGAAGATTCGGGCACGGGTCTGAGAGTGGCTCACTGGAGGTTATATGCCTTATCAGATAAATTATACAAAAGAAGACACGGAGTGATGACCACGATGAATCACCCGCCAGGTGGCCTTGGAATAATCTATTTGGCAACCTGAGTACTGACCAATCACAACCATAGCTGTGATATAGACTGAAACAATTCGTCGAAAAGAAAATTTTCTTTGCTGCAATTGTCTTCTTAATAATTCCTGTGACCCAATGTGTATATTCCGTGAAATAATTCGGCTAATCTCAATTCATGCCCAACACCATGTAAACCGCCTACACTTTCCGCTTCTAAAAGACTTCCTATCTGTATACACGGTTCGATGGAGACTCGTTAGCATATTTAATGGAAAACCAACTATCCTGTGTTTTCATTGAAGGAAACCCCCTTCACGTCTTCTCCAGAAAATTAGTGAATCACTTTAACATGAAGGACAAACCACCTCACTAGTGTTCACCTATCAGAGTACCTCCTCTTGTGGAGCTAGACATATTGGCTGTTTAAAAATAATAATATATTTATTCCTGTATATGTAGGACACATGAGTTTTACAGGCATGGGTTTACAAAAGAGAAGAAAGGTCCTTTCGAATTTCTATTCCAGAATACCTGATTGATTGTGGAAACCAAGAGCACTAACAAGCCAAATAGAGAGGTGTCTACAAAATACGCGGGAATATCCCTGACGGAGTACGAATAGAATTTCTTCAAATCACAGAAGCAGTAGTGAGCAGCATGTTGATAAGTCTTTGAACCTTCGATAGATTGGATCTGTTCTGATACCGGAAAGAGGATTTTCTGGTTGTATCATTTTCCCCCGTCCCCCACAAAATTATATTTCAACTGCCCATTGTCACTGTTCTTAACTTGACCCTCCTTGAATTTTAGTTGAACTGCCCTACTCAAGCCGATCAGTGATTTGTATTATACTAGTCTGTTTGCTAATTTAATTTTATTTTAGTTTCTACTCCCTTTCGGTGGCTTATTTTACACGCGAGTTTCGTATTGGGCTGCTATGATTGGTAGTAAACTGTAATTGCTTTCTTAAAACCTATAATCTTAATGAAACATCCTTGGAAACTCCCTGTTTTGATAAGAATTTGGTGGAAAATGGATATCACAAAAGCAAGAATTAGAACGTCTCATTGGATACAAGACAAACACTCAGGATTTCGGGCAGAGTTAAACTATATAGGCAAAGCCACAGTGTCCTTGAACGACCAACCAGAATTCAGACACCAAGAAGTCTCATAATGGTTGAAAAATACACTGAAATATTTAAATGCTTGATATCACACTGTGTAGTTGTAGCTCATGTGTTGAAAGAATGTCTCCCAGTCAATACACAGATGACCTATAGAGACATCGTACCATGTGCGACATACCCATTCGTCCAGGTGACTGAAGGTCATGTTACTATGATATTTCTGGTGCTATTCTCCAACCTACTTCTTACGCTAACCATAATCCTAACTCCTAATTCTAACCTTAACCTTAGACCCTAAGCCTTAATCTCAAAAACCACAACCCCACCTGACAAGAAAAAGTACTAAGCGAATAATTAGAACACCATATACATGTCCTCTCGTAATCCGAAAATGCAGGTGCAATTTGATTTGGGAGGATATTTTAAAGCCTTCCCTGTGTCTCACTGGTTCTTGAAGATCAACTTTTGGAAGACTTTGGCTTTGACTACGATACACCAATCTCGACGGATCTCGTTCGAATCAGTCACTGAACATTAATTCTTTCAAAATATACTTGCCTAATAATTTCTCAAAAATACCAAACTTAACGAGAAGTCATACGGAGTGTTTTGAGTTTGCCGATCATTTAAGTGTGAAATCGGAGGAGCAAGAGTTTGAAAGAAATCTCAAAAAATATAGACGAAATATATTTGCAACTCAGTAAGAACTCTTAAAAACATATTTGACATTTTTAATTTCATAACATAAAATGTTACATAAAAAACATGTTCATATGTTCCTGTTTAATATAACACTATACATCAGATAAGTTTGGGGAGGATTGCATCGTCGTGGAGGTTGGTGACGTAGCATGGTGCATCACGTCATTTGAATGATATAAAATTCCTGTTTCAGTGATTGCATTAAATTCTGGTAGGATAGTAGTATAAAAAAAATGAAGGGGTTAGAAAACTGACAGAGTATTTGGCAAGACTTGAAAATGATCGGGTGCAATGTTGGCAACCCTTTTTCTTAAAATCTGATGATTCAGAAAATTGTTTAGTGACATCATACTCCGAGTAGGCCACTGCCTAAGTGGGTCTCGAGTGATGAAGGACAATTTGGACATATGACAAATGTCGACGTGGCGGGGATCGTGTGACGCTGAGGAGATTTAAGTTTATGGGCAGTCATAGAGCCAGCCAAGGAAAATGTTGGTAGGGGAAACATATCACTGTTAGCCATAAAGCCATGATTGGTGCAATCAGCCAATCAGATATTGGTTGCCTGTTTACAGTTTAAATTTCCGTGGGTGTGTAAACGATATATGCAGTATTTGGTTTAATGAAGCTGTTGTCGTCACAATTAAATCTGACTTATTTATCTACGTCTGTATGAGGGGACATTTTTCAAAATGACTATAGTATCGTAACTGAGGGCTCCTTCTAGTTAACGTAGATGACAATCACAAAACCAGTAACACTTCGTTACAGCAGAAAACTACAGACGACAGGATCAAATGAAGATATGAGCTAACTAGGACCCTGTGTTCTACTTAGGACCAAGGTAAAAGCAGCAACAAAAACAATGATCAGATAAGCGTCTGTGATTAGCACACAGTTGTAAGCTTCCTGCTCGGCCACGTATCACAATATTACTATTAATACCTTAGGTACCTAGCGGAATGTGAATCTCTAAAAGCACGCATGCGTTCCACTGTCTTCTCTGCAGTCTTTCTTACCCTGCTGCATGATTAATTAATAGACTTTATTTACTCTTCATCACACGATATCTATGGACCCAGGCTGGACTTGTCGTTCGCTTCCCACTAAGGTTGCATTTGAGTGTCTGCCTAACTTGTGAAGCCATTCAACGATCTCCCTAGCAGTTATGTACAAACCATTTCCATTTCCCACCAGTTCAATCAAATTTAGCGAGATGAAGTTTCTAATCCGATCACTCAAGGTAAGGAGGGAGATAAACTCATTTCCATTCTTTCTCTTTCATTCTTTTGCGTTCGAAGAGGAAAATAGAGCCTCAAGCTTTTAGTTTGACATTTCAGTAGCACCCGTATTCTTTTATACTCTTTACGAGATCTGGTCGCTAGCTTCACAGTCAACCTTCCCTCTTTTTCCGGCTTACAATCGGCGATGCCTACGGGTGCGTTGTTGGCTTGGAATGGAACCTTCTACCACATAAAGGATTGGCAAGCATCCTACCATTGGACTCCTGACAAGTACCTCATCTCTGGACTCATTTCCTCATACATGTAAAGAGAAACAAATAATCATATAAATAAAGAGAAGGCACTAACTTGAAATATCTCCACTTATATCAGGATTTTCTAAAGCTGGAATACACAACGTTTTGATTCGCTTTCGTTGGGTTTCATTATTAAATGGGAACAGAATGTTGCAAAACACCGGAAAAAAGAAAAAAATAAGTGAAGTGTTTTGATAAAATGTTTGATTTTCAGTAACAACTGTGAGTTAAATGCCTAATTTTCTGGTAAAATGTATCAACCATTATAGACGGACTTACCATTAACACACACACACACACACACACACTCACATGAAAGGAGAGCGGTAACCTAATGAGAATGCAATCAACAATGGGTTAAACCGGATAATGGCTCTGTAATGTATATCCGCAAATTGATTATGATTAAGCTTCATTCCAACCAATATGTGACCACACTACAAAAGTTTTCAGCGTATTTAGTCAAAAAATGTGACGCACTGTTGCTTTATATAAAGACAGAAACCACCCTGAGTACTTTTCTTCTAAGAATTGTGAAGCGTTTTGTTGAAGGCTAATTAAATATGTGCGCGAGTTCATGTGGTGTTCATACGATATTATTGCAGGCTTAAAACAAATGGTAAATTACCAGTTTTGGGAGGCTCATGGAGAATGTAATAGGAAATTACCAAATATTCTCATGATTGTTAACCTCATTCGTGTGTGACGATTGAGCAGACATACTGGGTATCAACAGGAAGAAGGATGTGACTAGCTAGTAAGCACTGCTGGTTGACGAGAGTGGTGTTATCCAACTACTCATATCATTCTATCAGTAGTTTATGCAAATCGTGTACTCATGGTTACTCTCCTGATTCTTATTAAAATGGCACTAAGTAGACTATATATTGTGCACGATCTAGATCGAAGGCATACTACGACGAAAATTAATCTGGAACTGTGTAAAATTTCAAATCATGGATTCACTTGGAAGTGGTAAATTTGATTCGGTGTATTGCCCACACAAATAGCTAAGCAGGCAGAGCTTGGGTGCATTGAACTGACTAAGCTGTTTCCCTGAAATGAATCGGTTCGTGGTGCACGGCTAGCGACCTCTGTGTGAAATTAGCCGAACACTCGTCCGGTGTTTAAATCACTTCCGCTCACATCTAAAGTGGTAATATACCTTTGAAGTTTGGTTGCGAAAGGATTTCAGCTGGAGCACCACTGAAAATTACTGATGAGTTTTGGATAGCCAGTATTTCCTAGTGTGAAGCTCTTCTTGACTGTTGTGCACCCATGATTCAACTGCTAGGCGTTGAATTCATGACCCTCGGGCAATGAGGTCAATCCTCTGACTATTCAGCAGTTGGTAGGAAATCAAGTGAATCTCAAAAATTATAACTCCTGCCACTTTGTGACGTATACAGAGATAGTCAGCCAATGTCACCGACAGTCCAACACTTGAAAGTCCTTCCAATTCTCACTACCGACTCAGTGGCTCACTGACTACAGGGTGAAGTTATATGAAGTTCCTCTGAGAAGTCATGACCATTGGGGTCCACGAAACCATCGAGTGAGGGGACAGACACTTGCCAATGAAAGTGGTTGACGGTGGTGTCATGTATCACTGACCGTCAGAACTCGAAATTTGAGGGATCAACGGGATTATTTACATCTGGCAGGACGACCGACTCACTAGCCCCGTAAATTGAATTTCCTGAGCTCGATCACTAGTGATGAGGTCATGGATGCATAAAGTTAAAGAGGAACCCCATATTAGGAGTAAATAGCTGTCCGATACTCTCCAGTAGTTTTTACTGGTCCTCTTATCGAAGTGAGCTTGTAAGCAGACCTAAAATCACCCCAGTTCCTGCGCACAAGGACTTGAAAGATAGCAAACCTTTTCACATGCCAGTCATTACCATAAAAGATTAAAAACCATTGGCTAATGTTCTGCCCACATTTTTCATTTGAACTTGGGTCGTTTTCTTGGTGACCTACGCAATCGTCAGTGTAACCGAGAGAAAGAGCAGCGATGTATCTGGTACCCATCAGTCTGATGAACCTTCATCCCCAATAAGCAGATGACGGTCATACGATTGAGACTGGAATTCAGCACCCGTTATTTCAAACTCGAAAGCATCACCCACTAGATCATCAGACAATGAAATCTGTAGCACTAGGTAATTCCTCAAAATTATTGGCCACAGCATTCATCACTGAACATTGCATGCTGACCCTCACTGTTTAAGTCAACTTGTTTAGCTGAAGGCTTCCGGTCAAGCATCAATGCAATTTGGTACTCCATCGTGTCATGTTCCTTCGTGCACGATCCCGAGCTAGTTAAGCAATCATCTCGCACTCAAATTTGGTCTCGAAATATAACTCGTAATTTGAACGATCGATTCCGGCCATTTTTTTGCCTTTGGACTAGGCGGAGCGAATACCATAGAAGTTGTGGGTATTAGATCTTTCGTTAGTATATTTCGAAATACTACGTCAGCACCCTCAGCCTCTAAAAATCCATCTGTCGTGGAACAAGCATAAGTTGAAATTAATGATAATGATAATAATATTAATAATCCAAATCTCTCGTTGACTGGTTTTAGAGAACCCAAATACTTGGTGTCTGCTCACATGCCACCTCCTGGTGCATATACATCGACAGAATACTTTTCTAATCACTGAATTATCGTTCAACCTCCTAATATTCGGGCATTTGTTGTCAGGGTGCTAGTCCAAATGAAAGAGATATTGCTTAGCAAGAGAAGATGACTAGGATCGTAGTCCTGGTACTCTTGCTCTCATTGCGTAAACACTGTAGGCGGTGATAGGCATTTGGCGGTGGCTTGATGGCCACCGATGCACTCCCAAATATCGCCTAGGCGACAGCAAGCACAGGGCCGTAGGTGGAATGAATGCATAGCTTTCAAAGCCATCTGGTAAAAAATGCTACTGAAACTTCAAAGCTCGACGTTTGAATCTTTATGTTCCACCGGGTTCTCGAAGGAATGACAGTTACTCCATACCCATTTTCTTATTTGTCAGAAGGCCTTTGGGTACTTTGTATTTTTGAAGTATGCTGATCCTTAGTTGCTCTCTTAATTTTAGAAGGGAATACGGGTAGCGGAAGAGAATTTTAGACTTTTTCAGCATTGAGTATCCTTCATTAAGCACAAAAATAATTACATAACCATGCGATTACTGTCTAACCGAAGAATTTTATTCAAACCACTTATTTTTCGAAATTGGTGTCCTCCTGCTGCTAATATTACTAACCTTTTGCGAAACGGTTTGACTAAACGGGGTTTCTTATACTCTTCATAAGCATTACTTATTAATGATAGCTTGGCAGAAAAATAAGGTCCTTGTTTTTGTTTAACACCAATGTCAAGTCGCGAAGAATCTAGAAGACCTGGATTTCGCGTATGATTTATTTTTTATTTTTTATTACAGCTTGATTCCACACCGTATTTTGCGGTAAAAGTATGGAATTTTCAGCATGTGATATCGGTAGCCCAAATTTTGCAGACCGACCAAAAATATCAGGTGTGCGTCGGAAAAGGATCAAACCTCGGAACATTTGCATGGTCGGCGAGAGTCCTAACTACTGTGCCACCGACGCACACGAAATTGAAGACTTACAGTTGAAAACCAAAATATTGGCCAAAGAAGCAGCCGGCGAAGACAGGACTCCAGGTGAACGTAGACAAGATGGAGGTTATGAAAATAACTAAACAACAAACCAACAACAGCAACAATATCCAGCGTCAATCACCATCAATGGAAGCATTGTCTTAACTAAAGGAGGAGCGGATGAAGATATCCAGTCGGAAATCGGGAAGGCGTGAAACACATTCATCAACCTGAAGCAAATCTGGAAATCTTCGTCCCTCAGCCAGTATCAACAACAAAATTCAGTCGGATTTTTAATACAAACGTCAAGTCAATTCTTCGATACGGATCAGAAACTTGGCGGGGGGATCACAAAGAATATTCCCAACAGACTGTTGTAGATGTTACCTTTATCAACAACTGTATTTGCTCTATACTGAAAATCGGATGGCCGGGTCGGAAAGAATCACTGTTAGGAAGAGGCAAAACACATGCAATCATCAAGTTATTATCATGTCGTTGACATGCATTTGTTTCTGCTTTCTGATTGGACGCTTGCACAATTCCAAACTCTCAACAGGATTGGTCGATTTCCAGTCTACCTTATTTTTGCATAAATGCAGTCACTTTTGTCATAATAAATGATTCTGGTTTTACCGCTGATTATCGCGTGTTCTGCTTTACCAGTTAAGTGTGCACTGGTCAGTAGTTAAGCAGTTACCTCGAGACAAAGATCTAGCATCATAACAATTGGCGACGGGGTTTCGAATCCATTGCAGTTCAATGGAGTCAAATAAAAACCAGATCATCCAGTGTACATCCAGCCTGTCTTCCAAATGACGATTTCATTTGAACAAATGCAACTTCTCCTTCATCAACAACAGCAACAGTTTGAAGCTTGCCGGCTCATCTTGATTGAAAAACTTACAAAGCAGTTTTCAATTCAAAATCTCGGCAGTTCCAACTCAGAGAAAACTGAATCTATGGGGAGTTCAATTGTAGAGTTCAATTTCGAACCTCCAACAGGCGTGACGTTTGAAGCTTGGTTTCGACGTTATGAAGATCTGTTCCGGGTTGAATACGCTCACCTAGATGATTTGGCCAAAGTGCGACTACTCCTTCGGAAACTTGTTCCAGCCGAACATAACAAATATGTCAATCATATTCTACTAAAGAACTCCAGAGAACTCAACTTTGAAGAAACCGTTCAAACGTTAACCAATATTTTCGGTGAACAGTTATCTCTCTTCAGTATCCGTTACAATTGTTTCAAGGTATCCAAAGATCCAGGAGATGATATTCTCACCTATGCTGGTAAGGTGAATCGTGAATGCAAGCGATCGAAAATTCGATCACTTACGGATGACCAGTTTAAATGCTTGATCTTTGTCTGCGGTCTCAAATCTTCAGTTGACAGTGATATTCGTACCCGAATCCTTGCAGAGATTGAACGCAAACCGGACATGACTTAGCAGGAGGTAACTGCTGAGTGCCAGAGAAGCATCAATCTAAGGCATGACACGAAGTTGATTGAGGACGGCCAAGTTCATGAATTTACTTCTGTTCAGGCTGTCAAGTCAAAAAATTCTCTGCAAGTCAAACACAAGCCTCCCACAAATTGTTGGTTTTGTGGGTCGTGGCATTTTGGTAAGCTTTATCCGTATAAAAGACATAAATGCAGTATCTGTAACAAGTATGGTCACAAGGAAGGATTTCGTCCCCCAGTGAAACCTAGATCAATTCGATCTCACAATACGATGGCACAGTCACGAAAGTTTCGATCTCGGTCGACGAAACCTCAAATCAGCAGTATGTTCGCTACCTTCAAAGTTGACTTCGAGTCAAAAAGAAAGTTTGTCACACTTTCTATCAACCATAAGCCAGTTCGACTACAGTTAGATACTGCTTCTGATATCGCAATCATATCTCGCCAAACGTGGCGGGCACTCGGGTGTCCACCTTGTCAGAGAACGGAGCATACTGCAAGAAACGCGTCGGGTGACGCAATGAAATTATCTGGCTAGATTGAATGCGACGTAACTTTACGGTCGACCTCGTTCCAAGGAACATGCTACATCAACAATCGTCATGATTTGAACTTGCTTGGTATTGACTGGATCGAAAAGATGAAACTCTGGGATGTCCTACTGAACTCAGTTTGTTCCAATGTACAGTGCTCAGATAGTCCTACCAACATGTTGATGCATCCGAACCCGACCGCAAAGTTCATGAGTCATCTTCGCACCAAACACGCTGCCGTTTTACGAGAGTCTTTGGGTTGCTGTACCGTACAAAAAGCCAAACCATACCTCAAACCTGATGCCAAACCAGTTTTTAGACCAAAACGCCCAGTACCGTATGCCGCATTATCGTCCCTTGATGCAGAGCTGGATCGTTTAGAAAAGTTGAACGTAATCAAGCCAGTCGATTACTCAGCCTGGGCAGCACTCATAGTGGTTGTCAAGAAAGCAAACGGTACCATCAGACTTTGTGCTGATTTCTCAACAGGACTCAATAATGCTCTTGAAGATCAACCGTATCCACTACCAGTACCGCAAGATCTATTTGTCAAACTGAATGGCGGTAAATACTTCAGTAAACTTGATCTAGCTGAGGCTTACCTACAGATTGAGGTCGAAGATGATTCTAAAGAGCTTCTGACAATCAACACTCACAAAGGACTGTATCAGTTCCAGCGACTTCCATATGGTATTAAACCTGCTCCTGCTATATTCCAACAGATAATGGATGCAATATTAGCTGGTGTATCGGGAGTGGCCGTTTACCTCGATGATATCATAGTCACGGGAGAAACTCAATTCGAACTCTTCAGTCGGTTGGATAAAGTTCTGACAATACTCAGTGATTCCGGTTTCCATTTACGTCCGGATAAGTGCAATTTTTTCATGACTTCAGTGAAGTACCTGGGATCCATTTCTGACAAAGATGGTCGCAAACCCGACCCCTCCAGTGTGTCAGCAATTCAACAGATGCCTGCCCTTAATAATCTCAGCACGTTGCAGTCCTTCCTGGGGATGATCAGTTACTATAGTGCGTTCCTGCCAGATTTACATCGTCTCAGGGCCCCAATGAATCAGTTGCTCATGAAGGATGCTAAATGGAACTGGTCAGAAGAATGCCAACAAGCTTTCATCAAGGTCAAGAAATTACTCCAGTCTGACTTGCTGCTAACACATTACAATCCAAAACTGGATATAACATTAGCTGCAGATGCGTCCAACTATGGTATTGGCGCTGTCATTTCACATGTGTTTCCAGACGGTGTTGAAAAGCCAATAGCATATGCATCGCAAACCTTGACAAAGGTAGAGCAGAATTACAGTCAGGTCGAAAAGGAAGGATTAGCGCTCGTGTTCGGGATTCAAAAGTTCCACAAAATGCTGCTTGACCGAAAGTTCACACTTTTTACTGATCACAAACCACTATTATCGATTTTTGGCTCCAAGAAAGGTATTCAAGTCTACACAGCCAATCGACTCCAACGATGGGCGACTATGCTACTAGGATACGACTTTCAGATCAAGTACAAATCTACAAACGATTTCGAGAGTGCAGATGTCTTCTAGCGTTTACTCAGCTATAACAAGTCCGCAAGGGAGGACGTTGTGATTGCCGGCGTTTCTGTTGATGAAGACGTGTGCCACGTATTGATGACGGCAACAAACACTTTACCTGTTTCAGCCGACATGGTTCAACGAGAGACGCAGTGTGACCCGACATTACAGTCAGTTCAACAGTATCTGCGTTGTGGCTGGCCCTCGCGTATTGATTGTCCAGATTTAAAACAGTTCTATCAACGACGACATTCGTTATCCCTGGTCAGTGACTGCATTATGTTTGGCGAACGTGTGGTCGTGCCTCGAAGTCTCCAACAAAAAGTCATGAGTCAACTACATTTTACGCATCCTGGTATTGGCCGTATGAAATCGTTGGCACGGTGGTACGTCTACTGGCCAAATATCGATCGTGAATTAGAGGTGGTGGTTCGCTCATGTTCTCGCTGTGCTCAGGCTTTGAAAATTCCTATCAAGACAGACCTACAGCCGTGGCCCAACCCAGGAAAACCGTGGTCAAGAATCCACATAGATTTTGCCAGCCCAATCAATGGCAAACAGTTTCTCGTGGTAATCGACGCGTATTCCACGTGGCCAGTGGTTTTCATTATGCTAAATACTACAGTGACGATAACATTAAATAAGTTGGTTCGGCTTTAGGGCAGATTTGGTGTTCCAGAGGTCATCGTTTCCGATAACGGACCTCAGTTTACAGCTGAACAATTCAAACAGTTTTGTTAGCGGCTAGGTTTTCAGCATATTCGCAGCCCGCCTTACCATCCTCAGTAAAATGGACAAGCAGAGCGTTTTGTTGATACACTCAAGCGGGCACTACAGAAGTCAAACGGGGAGGGACCGATGGAGGATGTATTGCACAATTTTCTCTTCATTTATCGAACCACAACCAACCCATCATGCCCGAATCAAACATCTCCCGCAGAAGTTATGTTTGGAAGAAGACTACGTACTACTTTGGATACAATTATCCCGATCCCATCAAGACGGAGCAAATGTGGTCAAAATAGTGAATTTTGGTTCAATAGACGTCATGGCACCAAGCAAAGAAGTTTCATGGTTGGTCGGTTGGTACTGGTTCGTGATTACATACGGAGAGATCGCCCATGGATTTCTGGAGTGATCGTTGGAAGAAAAAACCAAGTCATTTACAGGGTCAAGGTTGGAGACCTTATTTGGATCAGACATGCCAATCAAATAAGAAATAGACTAGTTGGTAAACAGCTGAACGATTCCAAGTCCGCCGACGTACAATTTGAGCTACTGATAGATACGACGGACCCGAAAACGTCACATGGCCAAAATATTCGAAACAAAGGCAAAGTGTCCCGGCAGCCAAGGAGATCACAACGACAACCAAGACCGCCAAAGTACCTACAAGTGATTCCGCGATACAAAAGCTACCGATAGCCCTATCTTAAAAGGGGAGGTGTTAGGAAGAGGCAAAACACATGCAATCATCAAGTTATTATCATGTCGTTGACATGCATTTGTTTCTGCTTTCTGATTGGACGCTTGCACAATTCCAAACTCTCAACAGGATTGGTCGATTTCCAGTCTACCTTATTTTTGCATAAATGCAGTCACTTTTGTCATAATAAATGATTCTGGTTTTACCGCTGATTATCGCGTGTTCTGCTTTACCAGTTAAGTGTGCACTGGTCAGTAGTTAAGCAGTTACCTCGAGACAAAGATCTAGCGTCATAACAATCACCAAGAAGACACCATGAGAACAAACAAAACAAGAACCAATCGCCCAACAAATATGCAGGAGAAGGTGGAGATGGATTGGACACTCTGGGTGACACCGCATGTAAGGCCCTTGAGTGGAACTTGAAAAGGAAGAGGCAAGTAGGATGTCCAAGGGTGATATTGGGGAGATAGTGTGAAGAGGATTTGAAACAGTATGGACTAACAAATGCGGATGAAAAGTACAGCAGAAAATAAACATAAACTTTGTACATTATGGCCTCCAAGAGATGCGTCACACTAAATTTTATAGTCATCATGAGGACTGAGATATTGCTCGAAAGCCCAAACTGAAGCAGGTGACTGTCTTAAGGGGCCACCTACTGTTCAGAGCCTTTGACCTGAAGTCTGATCTGCCTGGCAGTGGAGCAGCATCAGGAGGACTCCCACTTCTATGGACTTTGGTGACCAGAACAAATTTAAGTGTCACTTGATTCTTTCGGATTTTGAAGCCCATATACACCATAAGATTGGAATCACAGCCAGGGTTTTCTGGCTGCCCAAGATAGACGTACGTGCTCGCCAGTCCATTTGTGTAAGCTGCAGACTTTGATATTGGGACTTTCACTTTTGTGGAGAACATCCAGCAAGTCGCGTAAAGGCAGTAAGTCGGACTTACTTGGAGGAGGCTATCAAATAGTGGCCACATGAGAGCATTTGGAGAGGGGGGGAAGAGCGGCTGACGAAGGTTTAATCCATCTTCGAATGTTTTAAGGTCCTTTATGGAGGACTTTGAGTGAATATTATCCTAATTCCAGAATTATCAATTAAATTGTTAGAAATTAGAGATACAAACTGAACAAACACATCGGAAACCGTTGGATGGGATCACACGCTGGCCATGCCCTCAAGAGAAAATCGAATGGGAAGGGTCAGAAGACGACATGGTGAAAATCATAGGGCGAGATGGAGGTAAAGGCTTTTGGGTGGTTGTAGAGCCATGTTGAGAGAGTTGTGTGGCAAACAGACTGAACAGAGATATGTTCCGACTAAATTCCACCCTATAAGTTCCACTTGGAATGCGATGAATGAATTAGAATAACGATGATAATAATGCAAGTAAATAAATGTTTTGAAACACGAGAAATAGCCATATAAAATTTATTCATGTGTGTTTTGCTCACCTGTAGAAGTTTTCCAGGTGTTCTGATAATTTTGATTATCATTACACATGGTATAAGAAATATACTGAAACTTGCCATAAACCAACCCAATTTCACTGACCAGTTAGGAAAACGATAGACATGACTGGATGACGCCTGCATATATGTCAATTCTTGATAGACGATGACACTGATAATGAAGAGAATCTGAATATATTTTGGAAGTAGACAAGGTAATGGTAAACGACTTGTTAAAGGCAGCAAAAAACTAAAAAAAAAATAGAATTCTGACACTATTATTATTATTATTATCATCATCAAACTACTTAGTTTCCAGTGGAACATAGGGCATCATCAGCATATCTCCATTTCATTCGGTTCTCTGAAGTCTTCTTTAACCGACTGCTCACAAGCTTTCATCTCTACCGCCTCAAGCTATCTCCTGCATGTCACTACCCCCAAAGACCCTCACACCTAACTAGTTGATTACTGCATATTGAGAACCCGCTTTGGGGCCTGTCAAGCCTTTTTGGTTTCAGACAGTGGTCTCCATAGTGTATATTTATTATATCTGATTCCTTCTTTTTCTACATATTTATTGGTTCATTCGTTGCTGAATCCTTTGTTGCTTATTCTTTCCAGCTGTCCGATCATCTGATCTTGAGTACTGAGCAAAGAGAACGACTGTTGATGAAAGTTTACAGCAGCCCATTTGAAATGCCTTTGATGACTCTCATGACAAATCTGCGAAATATACTGGAAAAACCAACTGCCCTAACGTCGGTGTAATCATTTCGGAAATTGTTGTTATCTATTGTGAGCGCAACAGATTTTCACATCAATTTTAGATGCATGAAGATCTGTCTTACCCTTCTTGATGCTAACCGTCTTTAACATCCCCATCCATGCTACCTTCCTGTAGTATTGAAACAGTGCCACATAGATCAGGTTAGTGAAAGAGGGAACTTCTTTTAGATACCTCCTGTTGATGATGATATATGCTTGTTGTTATTGTTTGGATAAGTTCATCATCTCTGCTTCTCTGTCCATCTACTTGGAGTCCTGTCTTCGTTAGTTGCTTCTTATATTAAACGTTTTGGTTTTCCTACTGTGGATCTTGGAAACTGAGCAAAATTAAGGTACAATAATGGAGGAGATTTGTAACTATGGCGGATTATTTTTATTTTGTTGTGTTCTCTGAGCTGGCTGGTTTAATTGCGAAGCTTTTGTTGTCCACCTTCTCAACAATATCTTCCTTCAGACAAAGCTATGGCATGAAATGAACTTATTTGATTTCTCCCTCCATGAATGATGATATAATTGTATCTCCTGACATCCCTTGTTGTCGGGATTGATTGCTAATTTACACCTATCTCTCCAGATCATTTCTATTGACTTGGAATTTAAACTTTCTGATCATGTGATTTATACTTGATTAATTGGTCGCCGATTTATTTGAGTACCAGGCTTCTAGGAATTCCCTGGCTGCAATTTTGTGTTTCCGTGGATTTCTAGAAGCCTCAAAATGACTGAATTGGTGAATTGATACAGTGAATTTGAAGGATATTTTAATCTTCTAGAAAGTTCTTTAGATAGGTTACATGGTGGTGGTCATGGTAGCGACAGTGAAGAAGCGAGATTTTCGTCTTCATTCTTTTTGTCTGGCTTTCTGAAGCAAAGTCGTATGCATCCTCACCATAGAACTGATTCTAAAAGGTCGTGCTATGAATCTGACTGACAATGTACACTGTCACATGTTCGCTTTGCAACACAATGTGAATCCGAAAACTGTAAAAATAGAAACTGAGCACAAGTTTTTGTGCTGTAAAACTAATCGAAATACTTTGAACCCAGAGGACTGCTTCTGAAACATCTAAAAGACACCTGAATGCTTAATTATAACTTGGTGGAAAGTTTTGCTAATAAACAACCCAAAAATCCTCTTTCCATACATCAGTGGGATTTGAGAGTTTCATTAGTTAAGCGAGAAAGAATTAGTTCCTTTTATCTGTGACGAAGAACTGAAAAGCTTCAAACCAACTGTCCTAGACTTTTGACTAAGTGACACATCATGCAAATTGAAGAAATGATAAACAACAATGAAGACTTGATCATCGTGACGGAGTTATCTTACCACATAAAACAGATTATTTAAAAATAATTCAAAAGATTGTCTCATTGACGATGCCAGTTTGAAAAAGCCTTTTGGATTGAAAGACAAAACTTCCTTAAAACAGAAAACTAGCAAATAAAAATTCTCTCAAACAATAAAGGAAGATTCAATAGTTGGTGTTGACTTCACTTATGAAACAAAGAAAGACAATATCCTGTCGTTTATTGACTTCCTGTTAACAAGAAGGCAAGATAACAGAGCATTATAAAATGGGATATTTTCCGCAAAAAAGAAATCATGAGTTGGCCAATGCACCTATTTTTTCAGATGGTTTGTTCCTCTTGCATACAAACAAAATCTCATTAGAATAATCCTCGCAGCTGACACTCTGGACGACGAAATAAGGAAAATAAAAAACTTACTATATGAGGACAGGTATCCAGAGAAATTTGCTAAATTCTCCATGAAGAGAAGAGATAGAGTGAGAAGTGCTTTCAAATCGTGTAGAAGGAATTTGTGTATCTATTTAACTTTACTAAGTTACTGGTATCAAAACTCCAAAAGAATAATAACTAACACATTCTTTGCCCCTCGATGAGGTGTTTAAAATCCACCTCTCGTTGTCTGTTTCCAAAACAGGTGAAGAATAGGCTACCGAATTTGGATACCTCAGTGTTTATTCACAAATTTAACTGTTCTCGTGGAAATAGTTACATATTTAATATAACAACAGTCATCACAAGTTCACAGTTGTCTTCTTGAGCTTTTTCCAACATGATTAGTTACATAAAGGAGTCGTAGAGTCACTTAGGAGTAGCGATATCGACTGGCATATCTTGGGATGGATACGGCGCTCAATATTAATGAAAAAATTCAGCCTTTTCTGCTGGTTGTATACAAGGTGCCACCTATCGATTCTCTGTAATTTTTACTCCTTCAAGATAACTAAGCATATGCGAGCGAAGCCAGCTGCCATAAAAGCAGTTTCCGAACCAATCTGTTTCTTTAGAGAAAAAGTTTCTTCACTCCATGTATATTCCATGGCCTCCAACTCCATCCCACAACCTAGAATAGTTATTACTGCTAGTGTGACACAGGATAATTGTAAATATTATTTATATATTTTTATTTGTACTGCTTACTGTATTATCGGTATCATAATGTGTACTATATTTGCATTTTTCTATCTTAGTTTCACAATTTACTATTATTTATGGTCACCTCAATTTTAATCCACTCACCGGAATCCCTGAATTTCGAATCTATTTAATTCCACTGATCTACATTATTCCAAATGTCTGTAGATTTAACGGATGATTTATGATTCATATCACACAAATTCGAAGACTTAAAGGCGAAAACCAACAAGCTCTCGAAAGAATCGGCAAAGACAGCAGTTCAAGTGAGGATAGAGGATGAGGATGCGGAGGTGATGAAGATTACTAGCCAACAGTAACAACAATAACAAGTCACTATCAAAAAAAAGACATTTGATAAAGGTCACTTCTTTCATTGGTCTGGCTAGGTGGTATCGGTTCAACTACAAGTGGAGTAGACGAGAATGTCGAAGTGAGGTGGAATCAGAAAAGCAAGACATACATTCATTGCTCTGAAATCAGTTTGGAAATCTATCACACTCCCCTACAGCAGGACAACAAATTCATCCAGAATTTCAACACAAAATTTAGATGAGTCAATTCCTCCATATAGGTCAGAAACGTGATAAGTGCGTCACAAAAAGCATTTCCAACATCCACCTGCAGACTTTTATCAACGGTTGTCTTCTGTGACTTCATACTAAAGATCAGGTGGCCGGCTAGAAAGAATTTAGCAGCAAAGAACTCTGTCAACAAAGCTATAAGGAACCTATTGTTCGACAAATATCTCACAGTTGGATTGGACACATTTACTGAGGAGACTATTGATTGACATCATACAGCAGCCAAACCATTGCTGGAGCTCAAGCTGAATGGAGAAGGACGAGTTGAGCATGTGTCCGAGGGCGACACGGAGGAGATTGTATATTGAGGAGAAGATCATAGCCTATAGGCGATCGTAAGGAGAGCTAAAAAGACTTCAGAAAAGAGGATAAAAAAAGAGATACGCCTTTACAGCTGAAGCCTCAGGTTCTACTAGGAACGCAAGGAAGCCACAAGATACAAATATGTAATTGTGTATCTCATTAATGAGAAATTCAGGACAAAAATGAGTATTCGACTGCTTAAGTATAACTTTCCAAGTCAATGACTTCAAGCCTCTTATGGTTTGAAAGATATAATAGTAATATGACAAACCCAGGTTCCTATCCTGGCAGCGACGCCAGTGCGTCGGTGGCATAGCGGCTGGGACTCAAGCCGACCCTGCACATGGTCCGGGGTCCGATCCCCGACTGACGCACTCCTTTACTTCCCTAAGCCAGAAATAATGCTGGTAAAGAGGAAAGGTTAAGTATGAGGCTAGCAACCCCATCCTTTAAAATTAAACACCGCTACAAGAACTTTAAGCCACTAGTTTGAAGCCCTATGTTCCACCGGGGAGCGTGAAGGAAAAAAAATAATGAAAATAATTAAAATAATAATGTTGCTTACAAGAGTGAATATTGGGGTTAATACGCACCAAAATATGAATGCCAACCATTTCAAGGAAACACCATACATTAATTTCATGTCTTCTGAAATACGTTTGAAACCTGAAAAACAAAAAAAACAACGACAGTTTTTCGTTAAATTTCTTACAGATTATTTCCTCTATTTTATGAATAATCCCCGTTTCCAAGGATTGCTATTTTATTCATTCGTTTGTGTTCCAAACTGCTGCTCAGCTTTGCATTTTAGTTGCGGTGGTTTCGTTAGCCTCACGCCAACCCCATCCTCCCTTCTTTGCTGGTATAAGCGAGGTTCAGGAGCAAACAAGTCATCGGCTTGGAATCGAACACCCAAACACGTAAGTAGTTATGTCAAAATTCAACCAGTGAACCACCTACGCAATCCCTCCTATTACATAACTTTATTTTAAATATCATATGGTGATAGTGCCGTATTAATAACTGGATTACAAAATTTCGAGTATGAATTACTGCCAGTCATAATTAAATCAGTTTAGTCACACGGCTTCACAATTTATCTTACACATGTTTTATCTCTCTCTTTCCCTTGTTTTTTGTTATCACTTTCCATATTTCTGGTATAGGTGTTGTGCCATTCCGATAGTAGGTGTATGGTGCTGAATCGATAAACAAACGTTCATTGACCAACCTCTCCGATTCTTTACCTAGCAAAATCACTTTTTAATACTCTCACCCCGTCCCACCGTATTTTTTGATTGCATCAAAGTGAATGTAGTGCAATGGGTGAGCTTTTTTCTAGATTATTTAAATTACTTTTTGGTGCATTACATTATTTTTCTTATTCATATCTGTTGAGTCGTTCAGCTGATATAGTTTATCTCTGAGAGTGTTGGTTGGTTGGTTTAAATGCCACCCCGACTAATTCTAGACTCCTTGTGAATCCTACATAGTAGGGATGTCTGATGTTCCTTCTTTATATGACAGTACTACAGAGCTTTGAGTTCTATATTACTTTTGTCATTTTCACAAATGTGGATAGTGACAACAAACAACAAAAGGAAGAGGGAGAAAGAGGGAAAAACTACATGTATAAAGCGAATCATGAACCCGAGTTAATACATTGATATCGTTTTGAGCAGTATACAGCGTTCGAAACATCATCCAGCTCTAAAAATACTGCATCACTGTGCATGATATTTAAAATTAACCTCTCTGTCATAGAAAAACATTCAACTACAGTACCCAAATTCTACACTCGAATTAATCACTTACGCAATCATTCAGGTGTTACTGAAAAGTCAAAGGAGTAAGTCAGCGAAAAGGAGCTCTTTTCAACAATTTCAGTCTCAAGAGTAAGTTTGTAAGGGGAGATTTGAATCTTTAAAGTTTGGTCACGGATTCATATCACGATTAAAGAACTATTGAAAAGCAGCAGCATGAAGCAACGAAAGGGTGTTTCATCCTCTTTCTTTGAGACTCTTCTCTGCCATGAAACTACAACTTCAATATGAGTCTGACCTAGGAGAGTTGGGATGCGAGGCCAACCTCACTGAATACTATCCATTCAGTTGGGATGGAATCCAGAAGAACAGCTAACCAGCACGCACTGTTAGATTTCAAATGTGTCTCTAACTAATAGTGTAGCGTATGTTACTGACAATATTTACGAGCAGTACATAGATACAGATATACATATGTTTATCGGGCAAATTTAAAGTTTTGACACCAACCAACCAATCAGCAAGCGAATTTGAACGGACCAATCATATTAAAGGGGCATCTATGATAAGTGGAGACGCATATATATAGAAAAAAAGCATAAAAGAAAGCATAAGACTGTTACAGGGGTAATCTTCCCCTTACATGTGAAATGAGCATCTCCCAGTTAGGCAACGGACTGCCAATAGAAAAGTTACACCACATCCTGTACATATATTCATCCAAATGACTATAAATGAGATCCTTATGACATCCATTTATACCCCTTATCCTATTTTTCAACCCGCCTCAAAATCCTTCAATAAAATGTGTATATGTCCTCGTAACGGGATCGACAGAATCACCTGAATGGTTGACTCTATGATGAATATATCCCAGAGATGACAGGGAATTGTAAGCTTTCCATTCGCCCGTGCGTATTATTGATCCCCATTTTACAAGTCTGGTAATAATAGGTATTAGAGTGGTCGACTTTCTATCTGCTGTTCTTTCCACGAATCCCTTTTCGGAGGGAGGTGTCATACAAACCTATTACCCAAATATATTTGGGTCTTTTCATTCTAAAGTAATGCCAGTCAGTGCTGAAAATGATCTGCGAAGGCTTAAATTAGGCTGAAAACATTGCCACTGTGTGCTGAATTGAGTCTTTTCGTTCTAAAGTAATCCTAGTAAGTGCTGAAAATGTTCTGAAAGGGCTGAAATAAAGCTGATGAGCGAACCCGGTAGGTTCTGATCTACTCCTAACAATGCTTAAAAGAAGAACACGGTGCTGATTTAGCGCTAGTTATGCTGAAAACTAGCACTGAGTTCTAGTCTGTGCCATTAAACAGTCGATTTCAGAACAAATTCAGAATTTACTCACTATAGGATGCTAGAATTATTTCAGAATTACTGAGATTTAATTCAGAATTATAATAAGCTTGGGTAGTGCTCGCTCGCTGCTGACCACGGTTGTATTTCTTTTCCACCAACACAGTTTCATCGACGTGCACAACAACGTCTTCTCCACCTAACAAAGAATTGATTTTCTCCATTTTCCACGAAGCACTATCTCTGCAATGCTGGTACCATTGAACCGTTGAGACGTGGCTATTCTCCGTCTCAGCAGCTACGGCTCTCATTGGCTGTTTCAAGACCAAGTAGTTGCAGATATACAAAAATATTAAAATTATCAGCATACCCTCTCTTATGCTAACTCGCTTCAAGCATATTGCACAACAATCGACAAGTTGCCGACAAGGCAACTCTAAAGAATAGCAGTCCAAACCGAAACTACCTGGCGAACGGACAAATGACCTTGACAAGGACAACTTCGACCAATCAGCAGGCTCAAAAATCGGCGCCTAATTGTAATAAGTCGTTTATACATATGGAATGCGATGTTAAAAAATAGTTACAAAGGACAACGCTCTCGTATATTTTGCGAAAATTTCTCAATTTCTCATAGGAGTCTTGATTCTAATGTTAAACGAAGTCCTGTATATAAACTCGTCGATACAACTGTATATTATTGCATTTCTTGATCCATTCACAGATCTGATACGTTTTTTTAGAAGACTCCAGAAACTGTCAATGAAATTGGCGTGAGTTCCATCAAAATGATTGAGAAAACCATTTGTATGGTTGACCACTTGATGAATATGGCCTAGATTCGATAACTGACTGTAACTACTCCTTTCATCTGTATAAATAGTCTTCCCAGGAAGCACGTAGCGCTGGATAATAGGCGGGAATACACCTGCACTGCGGTTAGGGATCGCCTCATTATATCTTTTCTGGACGCTGGTGTCACATATCCCCAATACCTATTGCTGATTCATACTCAATCTCCCTCTATTGTATATCCTTATCAAAAGTACCTAAGGAATCTGTGAATTATAAACGAACGACATAGGTTCTCGAACAGTCCGTTCTCCAAACAGTAATTAAAACAAGATCCGGAGCGAATTTGCAATGCAAAAGGTGTAGAGCATCCATAATTAACTCTGGAAATAACAGTCACCTGATTCCTTGCTCAAGGTCGCTCGTGCGTTCAAAGGTCGTTTCGGTTTGGGCTGCTATTCTTTAGAGTTGCCGACAAATCCATCAGTTGGCCTGCTAAAGCTTACCAAAGTCATGACACCACCATACTGACAAGTTCGCTCCTTCTGGAGAAACCCTAAATCCAGGAAATACTGGAAAACACTGTCCTCATCGAATTGCAACCGTGACCTTGTTAGAGTACGCAGTAGAAATGAATCAAGCGCTATACAACAGTGAACTAACGTTCGTGAATCTCATTGGATATTTCGACGTCGTTCGCTGATTGGTAGTAAGTGGTGCTCAAATTTTAACTTGTCCACTGTGCGTGTTGGTGGGCACCTTAAATTAGTAAACCGATAGAAATTAGCACTGATTGGACATCGGATTCAGTTGCAGTGGTTGAATGGTATATGTGTCCGCCTTAACTCCTGGAATTTCCCAAGTTTACTCCATTATGAAGTTATGGGTGCGTACTTCAAAAATGGTTCGAAACAGCGGGGGTTTAAACGGCTGTTAAGTAAAAAATACTGCGGATTTCAATGGTTCTATAACTAATGTCCATCCGTGGACCAATTTGGTTTCACTTCTTTCTGTCTGTAGAACTGCTCTACACAAACAAACAGACAGACAGATAAACCGGAGCTCTGTTTGCGAAACAGAATTATTTAACCCTTTTCTACTGTTATGTCAGTGACATTGTTGTTATCAATACGATTTGTTTTTAACTCTTTCCGATTCTCATATAAGAAAACATCTAAAAAGAAAAGCCGTTCAGCGAAGAGTTACTCCTCTTTTTTCAGCTATATCATTCTCAAGCAGTGCAGTTGCAGTTACAGAAACCTATAAACACAGTGGGGTAACTTCTTCATTTCTTCCACTTTCAAATACCATATCTCACAACTGTAAAAGAGGACCACATAAACTGCTGAACAGTAAGTACACTTGCCCAACATATAAAGACACACTTCATCAAGTCATTTTCAAACTAACTAACTTACCGTAGATATATCCAATTGCTGTAGATTCCAATAGTCCTACAATCAAGATGATGCGACTTCCAGTGTAATAATCGAACAATTGGAATACATACATTCCACCCTAAAAGAAAAAGAGGATTTTTAAAAAGTTATCCTTTTCAAGAGCTATTTTTGTCAGAGGGAGATTTAACTTGTTCAAAGTTCTATCATAGACTGATATAACCTAGAGAGTCAATGAAAACGACCAACAGTAACGAGTACTGAATAGCTGAAACTCCCTATTAGCAGTATGCACCTACCATATGGGTTTGAAACTCTTGAAAATAATCTCATCTTGTCTCTTGACTGGCTATAATGATGGGGTTATTTGCAATTCTAATGAGAAGCCAAGTTACCAGCGGGGTCCACGGAGTCTGGTAAGAACACAGGTACTCGTCGGCAATGACAGTGGCTAGCAATAGCGTTAAAACCACAAAATGGTAGGAGTAGGAATTTGATTAGCAATTGAATCCGTCCCAGTAGTGACTGGATGTCATAGGAATCGGCTTAAAATAGTAATCATCTTATGACTCATAATGTGATTAACTGAGTGATCGGATGGTTTTAAAATTTCGTCAACCTTCTCTTATCTTGGTCTTAGTAAAATCTCCAGTGAATCAGAACGATATATATCCAATGCCCTGGGCCGATTCTAATGTGGTTAAAAAATACATAAGTATGACTTGCTTTCTTCTCTCAATGAAAAATTGTATCCTAAAAGTCACAGGCACCAGTTTTTTATTTTGATAAGTACATGGCTAAGTGAAGGAAGAGCTAAGGTGCCACGGACGAATAAGCGTATTTAGCATATCAGTTGAGTTATTCATTGAGTCAGTGTTTTTGTTATACACATGCATAAACCCGCTTGATTAAATCAACTGTGGACCCCATCAAATCGGTGACATAGATCACAACAGACCCTCTCTCAGTCAACGGGTGATTTTAAGATCATTTAATGAATTCATGGCGACTTAGTAATAATAAGAATAAGAATACATCAGGTAAGAATAGCATTGGTTTGTGCAGGATAAGGCGGTAATGTTAGTCTAATAACTGGGCTTGTGATCAGAAGGTGCCGTGGGTTAGTAGCCAGTAGTGGGTGTGGACTGATGAACTGTCTCAAACAAGCAGGACGAGCCTGTCTTGTACTCTAGTACTGGCTTTCCAGTGGTTCTATAACTGACACCAATCCGTGATCAGACATGTAACCATTTGAATCCCTCCACACCAATACTTTATAATTGTTTATTTCGTCGGCTACTAATTATCTCTGCGTAAAACCTAAAAGAATTAATTTATCTTATCTGCAGATCACTTTTAACATACTTGCAAATATGGTTACACGATGTCAGTGTTACTGATAGGAGGGACTTCAAACGTTAATTAACAGTGCTCATAAAATAACACAATTTATACGCTGAAAGTCCAAGTTTCAACATAAAGTTGAAGGCTTGGTACAAAAGTAAAACAGATGAATAAGATGATGAGTAACCAATAGAATGATTACCGATGTAGTGAGTTGAACTCGAAGCATAGAAACAGGAGATAAACAGAGTCACAGTATATTAGACGGAGGGACAGGCTAAGGTCAAAGACAACACAGTGAAATGTGTGTGTGTGTGTGTGTGTGAGATAGAGGCCGGAAAGACATCCAGTTATCAAGTGGGGATTGAAGGAAAACTGATAAATGCTTCCTTCTGAACACATGCATAAATGGCATTTCGGGCGTTTTCGATAGCGAAATTGCTTTGGAAAAATTAAGGAGAATTGAACTGCACATATATATATATATTTTCTATTGGTAAACTTGAAGGATTTCAAGGTGTCCACCTTATGCTGTACTACAGTGTGAAAGCTTTTATTTAGTTTGAGAGATGTAGGCTTTTGGCTGCATATTCATATTCTTACTTCTATGATTTCAGTTGGGTTGAAAACACCACATCATCTACTCAGTTTACTAGTCATTACGTCAAAGCATATATTTTACTCTATTTCTTATGTTCGATGTATCAACGACAAGTCTGTAGTGCGCAATAGTAAAAGTCATGCTTCCTAAGATAAGCGGATAAGATTCCGCTTTCTGCCTAGAGGCACTCAACTTTTGAAGGTGTTAGTGTACTGCCCTGTAAAGCTTGGCTTTCGATAAACGTATCTTTAAAACGTGCAGTCCTCTCTTCTATCTAGCGGCACATCTAATTAGTGAAATGGTGAATCAGACCATTCTTTGATACTGAAAAGATAGATTGGTGCGAACCATTAAATTAACTATTAATTACAGCTTGAAGGTGAAGTCATTGAAAAGACATAAACTCAATTAATTAATATCTGCAGGCTGTATGCAGAGGTGATGAAATAAAAACTGATGGTATCACGTCATGTTATTCTGCACAAACCACTGCTGCTGTTTTTGTTTTATTCAAATTCAGAAAAAGGTGGGAATAACTGTGTATGAAATCAGAGATCAACTTACATTGGTGACCATAGATAAACCAACCAAATAGGATGCAAAGCATACACAGCCGACAAATAGACAACGAATCCATGTTTTCGCCATCGCATGGGGGAAATAATCCGTCGCAGCGGTTACAAAACCTTCTACTCCACCAAACTGTTTAGAAGCAACATAAACATAGAGAGACAGAGAGTAGTACAGTGGGTTAAGAAAGCTATTTTCTGTTTAATTCGTGGAAACTTCTCACTGGAACATATAGAAAATCAAATATTTATGATTACAATCACAAACATTTTAATTGCATTTCATACTATTAGGATAAAATTCGTCAATAGGTTGGATATTTATTATCGTGAATAACTGAAAGAGACGCAGAGACAGAGCAACTAAAAGTTTTTTAATCACCAAGATCTACCAAGTACACTAAAGCCATCAATTCGCATTTGAAAGACCATCTAAAAAAACTTAACTCTGTCAGGTGAGTTTAATCAGGCATATCCCTGATGATTACTTATATCATATTCTGTTATTCCCATAGGGTTCCAAGTGGAAAATAGAGCTTCAATCAGGGCATATCTTTATTTTATCCTGTTCTGTTTCAGCCTTCATAAGCTGGCTTAGCGGTTCACCATACGCTTATAGTTTGTTCTACATCACAAATCTCCTCTATGTTCCCCGTTCGACTACGCAACCAACTCACCGTTTCTCATTCGGATCCCACTTGTGGGTTTGTGTGGTGTCTCCTACCTCAGCAAAGCCCTAAAAAGTTCAATAAAAAGGTACTTTGTAGACTATGAACATGATATTGAAGCCGTCAAGTCGTTCGGTGTTGTCAGTAGAAGAACAAACACAAATATGCTTGCAGTAACCGAGGTGGTTTCTGCAATTAGAGATCATAAACCCGGTCTCCGCGTATACAGAAGAAACTGGTGATCACTGTGAATCCACTATAGTAATATGTTTTGCTTACTAACTTTCATTATTATTCTTAGCTTTATTTTATCTCTTATTATTACTATTTCTGATTCATTTAAAACTACGCTTTATTGGTAGCATTATCTTAATTCGTTTCAACATTTTTATTACTGTTATCATTATTATCAATGCCATTCATTTCGCAGTTTTTGATATACATATTGAAGTTATTTCACTTTGTGATGATTAATTGTTTATCTAAGTGATGTAATTGAACCATAGTGCATTTTATTTTAGGTTTAATCCCTCTTACTCCCTTCCCCCCCCCACTTATCTATGCGAACACGATCTGAAAAATACTCACAAATATATTACTGCATGATTAATTTAATGTGGTTTATTTGCTTATCAGTCTTATATCTTTTAATGTATTTCCAATAGTATATATACCGTTGTATGTAGAGCATTCGGATGGAGAGTTCTATTGAAATTTGATGAAATCATTGAACCCTGCTTTATTAACACTTTCTGTTGCTTGTTTTCATTTTGTAAGGGGGAAATAAATGTTTCCAATTATCATTTATGATTGAAACAATCAGATCACATATATTTTGATAGGAATAACTTGGTTTCTAAAGGAAAGTTTGTTGAAATTTCACCAATCGAACTGTCTAGACTGCAAATTGTGAATTGTTTTTAAGAATCCACGAGATAAAATTAGCTCGTATTAAATCGTATAAAAGGATAAATACTCACCACCATTAACATTTGCTTATTCCAGTCGCGCTGAAATCATGAAATAACAGGAGTTAGAATTCATCGACTGGACAGTGAATGGTCCTGGGCTTGAAACCATGTGATGGATGGCGACTGATTATTGGCTCCAAACCAGGACTCCAGAGGGTTGCTCACTAACAAAACCACAGAAACGATGCAGAAGGCTCGTTTACCATTTGCCATCTGTTGCTGTTTCTCACGTAGATGTGATTAATGTACGGCTGGCTGTCAATCAAAGGACGTATATACTGTATAGCAGCAGTTTTCTGTATCCTCCATTACGACAGTGAAGCTTGTTTATTGAAAGTGGAAGTCATAAAAAGCCTGGCTAGCTGTCTTTCATCACAGGTGTCTGAATTCTATCTCCCATGTTATTTAAGTGGTGTAATAGGGCGAGTAATATTGAGGTGAAGGTTCGATCGGGTGTAAGGTGAGGAAAGAAAGTCAACCGATGAGGTTGAGAAGCAGAGTTATCAGTTGAGATGGTTATGATATTTTCTACGCATGCACACCAGGCCGTCGCCTTTCTAGACGAGAAACTTTAGCCGCTGACATAGGATCAGGTTGGAAAAGAGTTGGCTGGCGGTGGTCAAATCGAAACATGGCTTCATCAGTCGATGAAATCCACAACAGCTAGTTTAAGCCAGCCAGCCAGCCAGCCACGTAGGGAGGTGTAGACAGCCTGATTGGGTGGTTGGGATCGTCAGAATGACAACTACCAATGACGGCTGGAGAAAACTGGAGGTGATATGAATCATAGGATGGCTTAGATGCATTCACTGTTTGTGTGATTTTCCATATAATCTAATAAAACTCTGTTCTTCTTCCATATTACTTACTATTGTTTTTCTGTTTACTATCTCTCTTAACTCTCTTCTCTTGTACTTTGTGTGCTACATAGAGGCGGAGTGGCAACTCGAACTGCACATCTGTGCAGGGTTCTGTTTTGAAACCAGTTATGCATCCAAGTTAGGTGTGAGGACAAATACTTGCCACCGATAAAATTGGCTGAGGCCTGTCACATTAAAATCTCAAAGAGATATAAGTTAGAAATCATGGGTCGTAGAGCCTCAACTTTCTGTTCTTCCCGTTTTTAGTAGTCTCCACATGATACGTTGGTCTTCATAACAAGAAATATATGCATTGAAATGATAATGAAGACAGTGGGATTATTAGCTTACCATACTGTCGATTCCAAGCAGTATAATCATCGAAAAGAAACATATTGACCAAAATGGACTTCCTGGCATTGTCCCGATTGCTTTTGGATAAACAACAAACCCCAGACCTGGACCAGATTCTGCGATTAAATTCAGTGGGATATTTGATATGTGTGACATATATCCAAGGGTTGAGAAGATAACACAACCAGACAAGAGACTTGTACATGTGTTAGCCAGTGCGAATAAAGTGCAATCCCTAGATGTATAATAAAGAGAGAAATAAGGGACATTAGGGAGATTATTAAATTATATTATAGAGGTTTTCAAACATACCTTTCAACCTTCTTCAGCCATAAACATGTGTCAGGTGATCCATAACGGATGACTCAAGCTGTGTAGCATGCCTTTGAAGTGAGTGAAGTTAGGAGTGTAAGGCAACGCTAATTACTCTCACCAACAATAATATTCCTTAGTGTGGTGTGCTGTACGCGGAAGACTGAGTGATAAGGAATAAAAGGTCTCTAGAAAATCTATAATATGCGTTTGGCTTATGTCTAATGTAGCATAAACTCGAAGATCTACAGGCGAAAACCAAGAATTTGGCGGAAGTAGCAGGCACTGAGGATATCACTTAATCTATACGGAGAGAAGGCATTCTAGCCCAAATAGTCAAAGAAATGGTCAGCAAGGTTGGCCTTGTAACATGAAGCTTCTGCACCGTTGAATCGTGAAAAATGGGATCACGGTTGAATACTGATGAAGAGTCCCAATACAGGACGTCACAGGTCACCAATGATCTCTCTAGCTAATGCTAGTTTGTGACAAAAATCTAACAATTAGAATCGAAGTTCACAAACTGAAAAGGCTCTACACTAAGGATGTTGTCTAGAAAGACAGCACAAGGATATCAAAATAAAAAATCAATATTACAGTCACGTGTTCGCCTGTCAACCAATCAAATTTTTAACCACCTGGAGATCTACATTCACTTACTTCAAGGAATTATGATGTAATTTGTTATAACTCCCGAAAGCTGTCAACACTCCTAAACCGATACTGTAACTGAAAAAGATTTGCGTTCCAGCGTCAGACCATACCTTAAAATGAAGGGAAGGGAAATCAAAAATGAATAAAAATTATTTTGAGTTTTTAATATTTCGTACACATTATCACATTGAAGCGAAATGCTCATTCAACGTCTCTCTCTCTCATTCTCTTGTGACATGTGTCGGCTGGCGTCCAGTAGGTGGAGCCCTCAACAAATTTAACGGAATAATTATTTGAAAAATACCCCCTGAAAGATCGGATCACAACTTTAATACTTAGTGGGATGTTTTAACTAACTTTGTAATTATCATCCTCTGTTCTTCTAGACTGTCCTATCATTGAATCTGATATTTGCACATCATAAGTTTATTTGTTCCATATTATCTGTCTTTATCCCTGTTTAATCTCTCATTTTAATGTTTCTCTTCTGAGTGAAGTTAAGGTAATTCTGAATGCATGGGCTATCTGCGGAAATCAATGGCGTGTGATTTTTGTGGACAGGGCTTTGATCCCATTGTGTTGCTTAGAATATGCTACTTGATTATAGAATACCTCGTACACTTGAATTTCGGTAAGCTGATTTTGTTCTACAATACTTGTTTTGTACTTAGAATATTCTCTTGTCTATATAATTGCCTAGTAAAACTTTTGAGGTAATTTTGAGCTTTTGATGTGTTATCGCTGCTCAGAGAACGACACATATAGTTTTCTTTAAGAACAGTTGTCTTTAACCGTCTCTGGAGCTTCTTTTTGACTTTGCGTCTTTAATGGAAATTTCAGACAGCAATACAGTAGAACGTGAAGATTAATTTCTTGTGTTCAGATGACACAGTGAGTCGGTATGGGCTGTTACAATGAATGATATCTAAGAAGGTTTAATGTATCGATGTTTGTTGTTTTGATTGTTGATAGAGGTGACTAGCAGCAGCAGCAGCAGTATGGGCAGGATCCAGGATGCATGAACTTCATCCTGCTTAGGACTCTTCAGCCTGGTGAATTTACCAACATTCCCAGTGATGAGTAAATGATGATGTTTCCACCGCTGAGACTGAACCCATTGACTTCCACTGCTTCCACTTCACTGTCAGTCACAATTAAAGACAGTTTTACTTTAGACAGCTATATGACAATACCACGTGTCAACTGATCTAAAACGGAAAGGTCAACGAAGCCTGCCTTTCTAGTGATGATAAGGCTGTTGACTACTATCACCTACAAAGATATTCTTAAATGTGATGCACTGGATTATTTGGCACACCATGTGTAGAGAGCCAGAAGGTGGGGATATGTTGAACCGATAAAAAAGACTCTCGAAGATGTGACGACACTCACCGATGATTGTCTATAGGCCCTCATCTCTTCCGAGTACTGTCTCCTGCATGTCACCCTCAAACAGCACATTTGTCTTTTCCATTCGGGTTCCATGCAAGTGATGGTCTGATCGGCACGCGATGGCAATCTACGGTCTCTTCAGCATGTGCCTAATCCATCTCCATTTTATCCTGCATATTTGTTGAGTAATAGATTATTGATTAGTTTTTCCCATAGTTTCTTGTTGCTAATTCCTTCTGGCCATCCGATCTTCATTATGAATCCACTAAAGACAGCTGTAGCCTGTTCGAATTGATTTTTGTGAAGCTCTAGCCAAGTTTATAACCCATATAGAAGAACTGACCGACTGACTGAACATTGGTGTTGAAAATCCAAATTTTGTTGTTTACGTTGAGTGCAGAAGATTTCCAGACTGATTTCAGGTTGATGAGGGCGTATCTCGCCTTCTCGATTCTAGATGGATTTGACATCTTCATCCGTTAGGCTGGGTGTAGTTGAAACGATGCTTCCGGGCCAATAACAGTGATTAGTGCTGGTTGTTGTCACAGTTGGCAATCTTCATCACTTCCATCTTCTCTTTGTTCACTTAGAGTGTTTTCTTCGCTGCCAGCCTCATCACTCAGTTTTTTGGTTTTCAGCTCGACATCTTCGAGTTTTTGTTTACTGTTAAACATAAGTGATCAACATGTGAAATCCCGATCTTCTAGAGTCTCCATATCATCAAGAACCTATTACTCCACGAATATGCCAAAGAGAATGAACATGAATCAGATACATGTACTGAGGAGACCGCTGACTGACACCCCATGGCCCTTGTATGGGACTCAAATCTGAAGCGCTAAATAATGAGCATGTGACTTCAAAGGTGATAAGTAATAATCGTTCAACTAGTTGAAAAGACCTCGTGTAGACAGCTGAATGAAATGAAGAAAATCACTAGTAGAACTTACTGTCATATCTGTTAACCTTGACCAATCTGGTTTCAGATAGTGGATTAGACCATCTGTAGCACCTTCTAAGATTATAGTTCTTATCAGTAGCGTAATCATAAACACATAAGGTAACGGGGCAGTGACATACATAACCTGGAAAAGATTGAAAAATACGGAATGATTGGAATTCTCAATTTATACAATTCAAGGTAAAATGTTTTGCTACGGGTGTCACCTGGAAAAAAAGCTATTCAAATCTCCGTATATGTGTTCCATTCGCTGCCATAAACAGCACTCAACAAATCAAGCAGGAGTGCATGGTAGTCTGTGTAGTCTATGACTGTCTGTTTGAAATAGCTTTTTGACTTGCGCGTCAAGTTTCCGACTCATTTAGAGGAACTGATTAACTAAACGTTATTGTTGAAACTCTAACCCTTGTACTTTATGCTATACCAGAGTACAGTAGATTTCTGAACTGATTTCAGAGTGTTGAAGCTGTGCCTCGCCTTGCCTTTGGTATGCTGTCTGCCTTTGATACCCTCATATATACCATCACATCTAGTTGAAACGTTGTGGCAAGTCCATGTAAATAAAATGAAGTGAATTCCTTCGAAGTTCTCCCGTTGATAGTCATTGATGCTTGTTGTTGTTGAGGTAATGATATATATATATATATATGTATGGCGGTCTCTCTTTCTGTTGCTCTCTTAGTCTGCGACCATTTCACTTGATGAACCTGTCTCCTTTAACAATGTATATTCCCCTTATATTATATATAATATGTGTGTTTGTTTGACATGTCTGTTATATTTGCTAGGTATATATGGATCGATATTCGATTATAATCAGCCAATCATGTTAAGACTGTCTATTGATTTGTTCATTTTGGATATTCGCTGACACACTTGTGTTCACACACTTGTTCGGACATTCATATATATTTTTGCTCTCACACTCTTGTGTGACATATTGATTCTCCTTGTGTTTGGAAAATAGAAGTATCATCGCAAACCTAGTGGTCTTCTGATTTCCGTCTTTCTTGCGTCAGGACTATTAAATTCTCGACCAGTACATAACAATAATTTGGCGACGAGTACATAATAGGTCATCACGTCTATTTATTCTCTAATTTAGCCTGATTCCTTAAGGTTTAACCTTCGCAAAATCAATCACTAGTCAGAACAGTTTATTATCTGCTGGCCCAGCCTACCTTAAATGTGGCTGAAAATGTAGAAATATGGTTTATTTTTTCCTTATAAAATTCGGTTACGAAGTCTTTTGTCTTCTCTCCTTACAGTATTGCTTTGACTTATGTATTTGGTTTCACGCATAGTGATTGCAACAAGATATTAGATAAAGTAAACTAATTTATTTCGTTTAATAGTCTTGACAGCATAAATCGTTTAATGGAGATAATTGGTGTCTAAGTGGCTTTGTCGTGAGTGAATGAATGTAACTCGCTTTCATTAGTGTAAGTGTTAAGAATTCTACAAAAGTTGGCTTCATTAGTTCCCTCTTTGCATGGAAGCACCACTGTCTAGGATAATATAAATTCCTCCTTAATTGCGGGTGTGCTATCACCACCTTTCTGTGTATTTGTTTGTCATGCCTGTCGTCCATAATTTATCAGGATAATTATTAGTTTTTAAAGCTTCTTTTATATGTGTCTTACTTCCTCTCTCCTTAGATTTTCTTTGCTAAAATTTACTTTATTTTAATCTACTGTCACTTGAACATTTCACCATTCCGAATTTTTACTGACATAATGTGGCATGAACTGAAATCCAAATATCAGTTTCATTGTGTGTGCGTGTGCCGGCTTCTGAAAACTCACTAGTGTGTTTAACTTCCTATCTTCTTTCCTTACTTAACACTAAAATCTAATATTAGAGGCTACTCATTCTGGCGACAGTTCTACTTCATAAGTGAATTGAATTATCTTTGCCATTTGGGGTGATATGTTTTGAAAAGTCTTCTGACATCTTGTGTTTTCTAACACTTTGAATGTGTGTAATCTACATACCTCCACCATAATTTTGGAGGTACAGAAGCTGAACATTTCAGTCTCTTTCAGTTTTTCCATATAGCCTGATATACATATATGATGTACCAATGGCAACTCCCTAAGTTTATCCATTTGTATATTTTTTCCCGTGGAAGTTAAAAATTTTAGAGATTAGGCATAGCATAATATCTTTATAATAAGACACACTGATTCTAAGTTCAGGTTTAACCGGTAAGAAATAAGTTTGTTATTATAGCAATATTTACCAATGTTATTGCCGATTGTAGATCATGCAGAATACCGTCGGTGAGTAGCATGAAGACGCGAATACATTGGAAAGGTAAGACAATCCTTAGAAGATATGGATTTTACGTGTGGATGACTTATGTATAGTATCACATAAATTCGAAGACTTATAAGCAGAAACATAGAACCTAACAGAAAAAGAAAGTAGCGAAGACAGTACACTTCAAGGGAATATAGAGAAGAAGACGGAGTTGATGAAGGCAGCCAACAAGTCGCAACAATAAACAACCACTTTCGACAGAAATAAATTTGGAAAGACCATTCCCTTCACTCATCTAGGCGGCAGTGATACACTAGGTGACACGCATGAAGAAGTCAAAGGCAGGGGTTCGAAGGGAAAGACAGGCCTTCTGCACTCAACAATCGGGAACAAAATTCAGATTTTTAGCACTAATATTAATTTATTTCTTTGTTTTAGAGACATGGCGTGTCGCCAGAAGCATTTCCAAATGGCTAGTCAAAACTTTTATCAATAACCGCCCACTCCACCGACTCCATAACAAAGATCAGATAGCTAGACAGAAAGAACTAGCAACCAGAAAGTGTTGCAGGGAACGAATCAGTCACCTTTTATTCAGAAAACATGACAAAGAAAATGAAGATAGCTGTATCTGAAACACGCCGCAGAGACATCACACGAGTGACAAAAGACGAGTTCGTTGTGTGTCTGAGAGTGGCATGCAGGAGAACATGTTTGTGGTGGAAATTGAAGCTTATGGGCAATCAGGATGGCAGCTAAACTGGCCACAGAGAACAGAATAAAATGGAGATATGCTGTTGAAGTAATCTTTCTCCTTGGGAACCAAGGGGGTAATATAATTATGACCATTATTATTAAATATCGAATCTTCACTTACGCACATTGCACCTGCATTTTTCCTTGATATTATTTCTGTTTTCCCCCTACTGCATTTCATTTATCATATTTAAACTTATATTCTATGGACAGGATGAATTGAAATCTAAATATTGGTCAGAAATTGCGAGTTGAAAGTAGTGTGTTTAATTTCCCATCTTCTTTCCCTGCTTTACTCTATAATATAACACTAGAATACCCGAATAAGTAACATAATTATGACTTATTATCAAGCCATCCTTCAGTTACATTCAAAATATAGTTGAAAATGAATCAAATATTCCATTCCTGGACGTTGAATTGACAAGAAGAGATGATGGAACTCTGAAAAGATCTCTCCACTAAAAAGCTATCATGGAATGGCCAAATGATAAACTTCTACAGTTGAATACCTATCAACTAAAAGAGAGCTCTCATCATCTTGCTGCCCCCCCCCTAACCAGAAGAAATTGCAGCGGCGGCTGCCTAAAAGAAGAGCTCCTGTTTCTCAAAAACATTCTAGCTAAGAATGGTTTCCCATTGTGTTTCGTAGAGAACATGAAACCAAAGCCAAGAGGAGAAGAATGCATTTCAGTGGCAAGGAAAACATTACATTTGAATGTGACATTCAGAAGAGGTCTTAAACAAAAAATCTCCAGTCCCTTAAATCATACCTTTCCTGAAGCGACTTTAAGACCGACATTCTCCAACCGTCTACTGCTTTGGAGCAACGGAAGAACAGACTTCTATATGTGGCCACTTCGAAGTGCATATATTAGTTCATCTGCTGTCGAGGAGCTGGGTTTATAGGTTTTTCTATGCAGGTCCTATCAAAACGTGTTAATGAACATTACCTAGCATGGGTGCAAAGAGGAGAAGGCACTGAATCATTCAGGAGAGCCATAAGTGAACATTTCGTCAACACCTGTCACAGCATCTCAAATGACTCATCATTCGAAGTCATTTAAAAATAAAACAAAAATCTACCAAAAGCAGTGTGTTTCCGACTTCTTTGTACTTCAGAAGGTCTCACCGTATGCATAGAGAAACTGAAGCTGTGTGGTCGAAAGGAACTGGTTCAACCCCTAAATTTACCATGGATCTAGTTCGGTTTGTCTCTTTAGGTCTTGTTTTTTCATTCCGTTCATTTCCAGCTTCTTCCTTTCACTTTAGTTCTTAAAATTTTATTCTTTTGGCTTGTTCCCGTGCTAATCCCATTCCCACTTTTAGTCGTTAAAAAAAAACTATTTTATAACCCTGTGAAACTTTGTTTCTAAGCCCCTTGTAATCTATATTCACACCTTCAAACTTTCATGTCAAGTTGTAAATTGTTATCACCTTTAATCTCCTCCTTCATTTCTACGTGGAACTAAATAACAATTGTATCTTTGTAAACTTATGTATATAAGTGTTATTGTATAGCCTGTAAGAATGTGGTCGCCGAAAAGACACCAGTTTGCTGAACTTCTTGTTCTTTTCCCTCTAATGTCCCGACGGGTACTTTCCACGATTACTATCAAGTGTCAAATCTTAGATTTTCTTTAGTACTGCTTATTTTACTCTACTCTGCTACTTAACCATTTCACTAATCCGTCTGAAACTGACCAAAATTCAAATAACAGTTACATTGTGTCAGCAGATTTCCTTCAAACACTACTGTTTGCAACTTCAAACCTTCTTCGTCTATTTTGTTCTACAGTATAATATTGCAGATGAATTAAATGAATCTTCTAACTACTAAATGAATAGAATTGTCTGCAGCTGTGGTGGTGAATAGTAATAATAAATCGTTTTCGAAATACGCTGTCATCCACTAAATAGAAATACCGTTTTCTTTATCTAATAAATAAATAAGTTCAGAATGAAGTGCTGTCACAGTGCTCTGGTTTTTTACACTTTCTATTTCTTTGCCATTTTCAATGTAAATAGGTGGACTAATCACTTGTTAAGCTCTGATATACGATAAGGCAACCCACTTGTAGAATAAAAAAAAAAACTCTATTCATCTTTGTTCTTTTTGATGAACATTCTTCAGTCACGTTGAGAAGGTTTTTAGCCTTTTTGAAAGTGTGTTTCATACCAACTGACTTCGCTTGTCCTTTTCTAAGATGCAAAGCTTACAAACATGATATATGAAAATATGTCATCTCGATTGACCTAACACAAATGCCTATGTGAACGATGCATCTTGCCAAAGTAATTACCATTATTATCATTCGTTATCCTGATATTCAAAGTTAGTAGACTATAGTCACTATACTGCAAATCGACAGAAGCTAGAATTCATGAGTCTGTTAAATTCCATCCGAGCAAAGTGAGTGATAGTGCGTTCGTCTCGTCCAAGGTCATGGGTGCTCACTGTTGAAGAAGCATAAAACTTGCTAAAATAACTGTCCATATCTCTACAGTTGTCAATGATTCTCTAACCGTATATATGCAGTAAATTTTTATTAGCAACAAAAGGAGTATTGTCAAAGATGTGTCATCAGAATTGTAAGTTTTAGATAACAAATTGTTTAATATAATAGACGAGATTGAATAGAAGGCTTTATCACAATTTGGACGAGCGTCAAGTTGACAAGAGTGGTGATAAGAGGTGGAAATTTTATCAGAGTCGGGTGGAGGAAGAAAACAGCTGAATTTAAAAAAGACTCGAAAACCAAATGCGAAAATTACGTATCAAGTGTTAAGATATATCAGGTTCATTGTGGATTTAGTTACACTGAATAAACATTCTTTTTGTGTACGCAGAATTCGGGATTTTGGAGTGAATCTTGGCATTCCCAACAGCTGCCAACTTGTGATTCGTTTCACATTAGAGAAGGAGTCCAACATAAAAATATCTTTTCTGGATGTTCAACTAACAAGACTAGAACGATCCTTTTACAGAAAGCCAGCATGGTATGGACAACTCACCAACTTTCATAGTTGGGTACTTTTATATTATAAAAAACGAAATCTTATCCATTCATTCAGTGACAGAATTCTCAGCATTTGCATTCCTCAAACCAGAGAAGAGGAGCTTAACACTCTGAAAAGAATTTCCATTGAAAATTGCTACGTCGAATGCTCGTTCGTCACAAAATCCATGAAGCACAATCCATTTAAACCGTCCACAATCTGTGCTCCTAAAAGGCGTCTCTCTGCCTCAATCTATAATTCATCGGAGACTCGTCGGTAGAAATGTCGAGAAACCGCCTGTCCCCCACTCACTGAATAAAGCCTTCTTCGCAGATGAACGTTGAATAACTTTCGTCAAAAATCAAATAAATCGCATGAATGGCGTTGGGGATAAGCTGCCCGTGCTGGTCGCCTCATCATTATGCGCCTCTATCGCTCAGTTCACCTGATCGACCTGTGTAGTTGGTATGTAGGCCGTAATCGACTTTTGTACAGATTGTGCTTTAGACCGATTTAAACCAATCTGAAGAAATTAGATTACTGGGTCAAGGCAGAATATTTATTGTAGTGCGACAGGACAAACGTTACGTTACGCTGGTAACCTTATTCAATTGTCGATATCGTTGATTCTTCGTTGATTTAACTTTCTGAGATACACAATATATATACATATATAGTCTAAATCGATTTGTTCACTTCAGCACAGATCAGTCCATCTTTTGTTTTTATTTTTTCGGACTATTGGGAAGGGGAATAGAGGGCATAATTGACCAGTGATCCGTATTAGTATTAAATCAAGAGTATTATTACGTATTATTACACAAATAAAAGAGTGAATTTGTCACAAATTAGTAAACAAGACGGGGAAAAAGGACAGGGAAATAGACAAAAGTTTCATAACCACTGTTAGCCCCCTCCTTTGTTTTGTGCTTTGAAATCCAGACAAATTGTTATGATGCCAGCAATCATACAAAATTTTCTGTGCTATCACATTTCTTCGTCATTCCTAGATAACCACTGTACTTTGAGGTGGTCTGCAGCTGTAGAGAGCCTGTGCAAGAGAATGACGTCATTTTCTACTGAGAATCTGGTCTTTTTTGCTTAACCTAATCGACAAAAATGACCCTTGAAGACCTGAAATTCACGTAGTTGATTTGTGTCTCACAAACGCGAAGATATACAAGCGAATATCGACAACAAATTGGCAGATAAATAGAAAGCAGCGAAGATTGAACGCTGAACATTACAAACGACAGAGGTGATAGAAATACCTAGTCAACCAACAACAGCAAGCATCAATCACCACAAACGGAGGAAATTTAAAAAAGGTGACTTTCTACACTCATCTAGGCGGCACCGTTCCAACTACAAGCAACCATGTGGATGGGAATATCAAAGCAGTCAGGTTCGGAGAAGCAACACAGACCTTCATTACTCTGCAATCACTGTGGAAATTTACTGTTTTTTTTTCTGTTATAAGGAGCAAGACATGAATTTCCAACATTAATGTCAAGTCAATCAGTAATTCTGTACCACTCAAAGGTTTGATGTGTGCATCAAGAAAGTCATTCCAGTCAATAGTTGTTTTCGCTAACACTGTAGTGAATATCAGACAGCTACCAAGAAAGGATAGGCAAATAGGAACTCTAGTGGTGAGTGGATGAACCGAGAACCTATCGCCACACAAATATAATGGATAAAATAGAGATGGATGAATTGAACACACCTGAGGAGGTCACTGGGTAACACAGAACTCCCAGAAGATCATTGATTTTGAAGCTGAGTAGGAAATGGCAAGTTGAGCATATCAATACTAGAGTAACAACACAGGAGTGATCGAGTAGGATAAGGAGGAAAAAAAAGGAAATCTAATGTTAAGTTTTAAAGCCAAATAAAAAGGAGAATGGAGAGGAGAGGTAACTGATATGCAGATGTACCCTGGTTGGTGTCATATATTTCATTAGGAAGCCCATAATTCAAAATATACTGCTTACCTTTGCTGATGTTTTAATACCCTTGCAAATGCACAAATATATAACAATCCATGTAACTAAAAGGCATAAGGCTAGATCCCATTGAATTGTTCCCACATTATGTATCCCGTCAGATATACGCAGAACACGATTTCTGTTTGAGAAAATCAGATGGAGAGAGATAAAGTGATGCAGGTATACATATATGCACATCTGTGAATTAGTGAAGAAAGAACAAGAAGCTTAGCTCATTTGAGTACTGCACTCGTCAACTATTACACATTTATGATTTGTACTCATATGTATATATAGGTCATTTTTTTGGCTCATTCATGTTTCTGTGTTCAGAATTATATTCCAGGTTGTTGACAGTTGTACTGAGTCATTTTTGTATACATGTATCGGGTTTGACCTTAATGAATATAGATTTTATATGTCCAAATCAAGTTCACCTTTAACGGTTTGAAAAAAATTTGGGCATTGGGTACATGATATTGATTATAGTAAAGGTTCATTGGGAAATACAAAAACCTTTATTATTATGAATATAGATTCTGTTGTTAGTAGTCTCTCTGTCAACTTGTTCATATTAGTTTTTAGAAAACAAATATTGTTCCAATCGATATTGTAGTTTTTCTCCCATGCATTTGTAGCTATAGATGAATATTTTTCTAAATTCTAGTAAGCTTGTCTTTTTGTTGGTTGACCTTTAGTTAGGCGTTTATGTTCATTCACTCTTATTTTGAGTGATCTCAACGTTTGACCCACATATTTAGTTGGACAGTCAGCACAAGATATTCTGTAAATCAAATTGTTTTTATCCATTATTTTTATGCGATCTTTCAGTCGATTTATTTTGTTTTTAATCAGATTCGTCTGACCATTATGGATAAGATTTTATTTCGATAAATCACACAGTGTTGTACAGTTATATTAACTGATGACGTTTCGAGCACAAACTATCGCTCATAATCATATCAAGTAACTCACACAACTTTTCCTTTCATTTATATACATGAGTGGAATCGATTGGATATTGGATTTAAAATCAATGTGAGATAATATCCATTCAGAAATAATAGTACGAGTGTTATTGGCCCATTGCAATTATGTGGGAAATGCGACTGTTTATACGAGTGTTTTTTTTATAGTCATGATAAGTTACTTGTTAGAATGTTTTGATGTGTTTGAATTGAAATAGAATTTTAAGATTATTTATTATCCTCCACTGATTTGACTTGAGGTAATAACATCTTCCATATTTCTGGTATTTGCATTGAATCATTTCTGTTGCATTTGTCGGGTGTAGACCCAATGGACCAGGATTCAGTAATCAACCTCTCACTCCATCTACAAAGATTAGTTCTTAGAATTTTAGCCCTCTCCCACCCTATTGTGTGGTTATGTGTTAATGCGTGAAGTGCAATAGCTGAATTTTTTTCTGAATTACTCATCTTCTCGGGGTTAACCATTCTTACCTTAGCTAAATTCTTATATTCCGACAATCTGACTATCCCTGACCTACTAGTTTGACCTATGTACTTGACCTTACTCACAGTCATTGCATGGTATTTTGTAAATAATATTATTTTGTCTAATTGGGTCCACCGGGTCTTTTAACCTACAGAGCTTGTCTCTGAGTGAGTTTGTAGGTTTAAATGCCACCCTAATTCCTGCTTTATTTAGAATCCTACGTAGGGTTTCAGATGTCCCCTCTTTATATGGTATAACTGCAAATGACTTATATTCTCTCTTATTTATGTTATTATTAATAGTTTCACAATTATTTTATTTTTCTTTTGGCCTTTTTCGCTATGTCAGCTATGTTAGATTGTAAAATAAAACGAATAGAAGAAGGTAAACTACACACTAGTGTGTACAGAAAACCAACTCATTCTAATAGATACTTAGACTTTAATTCATCTCATCCGTTAACTGCTAAGGCAGGCTTAGTTAAGTGTTTAACAAACCGAGCAGTGGCACTAAGTAGCACAAAAAAAGACCTAAATGATGAACTAAAACAGATAGAAGAGGCTTTGGTGTTAAATAACTATCCTATAAAATTCATTAGGAAGATCGAAAAAGGCCAAAAGAAAAATAAAAATAATTGTGAAACTAGTAATAATAACATAAATAAGAGAGAATATAAGTCATCTACAGTTATACCATGTAAAGAGGGGACATCTGAAACCCTACGTAGGATTCTAAATAAAGCAGGAATTAGGGTGGCATTTAAACCTACAAACTCACTCAGAGACAAGCTCTGTAGGCTAAAAGACCCGGTGGACCCAATTAGACAAAATAACATAATTTACAAAATACCCTGCAACGATTGTGAGGTCAACTACATAGGTCAAACTAGTAGGTCAGGGATAGTCAGATTGTCGGAATATAAGAATTTAGCTAAGGTAAGAATGGTTAACCCCGAGAAGATGAGTAATTCAGAAAAAAATTCAGCTATTGCACTTCACGCATTAACACATAACCACACAATAGGGTGGGAGAGGGCTAAAATTCTAAGAACTAATCTTTGTAGATGGAGTGAGAGGTTGATTACTGAATCCTGGTCCATTGGGTCTACACCCGACAAATGCAACAGAAATGATTCAATGCAAATACCAGAAATATGGAAGATGTTATTACCTCAAGTCAAATCAGTGGAGGATAATAAATAATCTTAAAATTCTATTTCAATTCAAACACATCAAAACATTCTAACAAGTAACTTATTATGACTATAAAAAAAACACTCGTATAAACAGTCGTATTTCCCACATAATTGCAATGGGCCAATAACACTCGTACTATTATTTCTGAATGGATATTATCTCACATTGATTTTAAATCCAATATCCAATCGATTCCACTCATGTATATAAATGAAAGGAAAAGTTGTGTGAGTTACTTGATATGATTATGAGCGATAGTTTGTGCTCGAAACGTCATCAGTTAATATAACTGTACAACACTGTGTGATTTATCGAAATAAAATCTTATCCATAATGGACTTATACTCTACCACAGTGCCCAAGTTTTATACTTATATCAGATTCGTCTGTTTAAACGTTTTGCGAATACCAGTATTTTTGAGATTTTTTGAATTGCCTATGAAGTAGCATTTTTGTATGGTATTGTGACTGTTTTTTTGCATTCTTCCATCTTGTTATTCTCCGGTTTTACCCTCTTTTTTCTCTTTGTTATATTATCTATTATAAATTCTTTAGGATAGTTGTTTTCGAGTAGCATTTGGAATAGGACTTTTATTTCTTTACACTGGTTCTCTGGTGTTGTCGTAAGTCTACGTATTCTATCTGCAAGACCTGGTATTAATCCTCGTTTTACCGTGAGTTGGTTAGCTGAGTGAATATCAAGGAACCTTCCAGAGTGTTTAGCTTTTCTAATCAGCGTCGTTTTTATGCTGCCATCTGTTATTCTTTGTATTTTGCAGGCTAACGTAGGTAGTTCCCGAATTTCATTCTCTATTTCGACAGTGAATTTTATTGAGTCAACATGACTCTTTCTGTGCGAGAAGAATTTCTCAACATTGTTCTTTTTTCATTATTACTAACGTGTCGTCTACATATCTCCACCAACATTTTATTGATAACCTGAATGGTTTAAGGGCGTTTTCTTTCCAATAATTTATGAATATGTCAGCTATTATTGGTGAGATAGGCGATCCCATAGCTACTCCTTCATTTTGCTGGTATATTTTTCCTTCGAATGTGAAATATGTTGTTGTCAGACAGAATTCCAACCCTTTTATTATCTCTTCTACGGATAATTGTGTTCTGTCTTTTAGGCTATTATCTTCTTTTAGCCCCGTTTTCAGTGCATTCATGGCCATCTGAATGGGTATTTTACTTCAAAGCTGACTAGTATCTTCTCTTCCTCTATTTTAGTGATTTTTAATCGTCTCACTAATTCAAATGAATCTACTATTCTAGCTTTTGAGTTGTCTCTTATTGGTCTTAGTATTGTCGGAAGAAATCCTGAAAGCATATACGTCGGTGTGTTTCTTAAGTCTATAATCAGTCTTATTGGACATCCCTCTTTATGCAATTTTATCTTGCCATATATCCTAGGTGGATTACATGATTATGGCATAATTTCAAACCATTTTGACTTACCAATGACCTCTTTCATGGTTTTGTTTGTGAAAGTTTCAGCTGATTTAGTCATTAGGGTATAGAGTCCAGATTGTAGATGTTCATTCATCTTTTCATTATATGTTGTTTTGTTAAGTAATACTGTTGTGTTTCCTTTGTCTGCTTGAGTAATGACAATGACTTTGTCTGCTTTTATGTCTTGAAGTGCTTTTAGTTCCTCTTTCGTTATATTTGGTTTTTTTGCTTTTTGCTTTTTTAAGGTTAATGCACATTGTGCTTGTACCAGTTCAGCTTTTTGCTTGTCATATCCTTCGAGTGCTGTTTCAATTACAGGTATGATATCTTAAGGTTTTTTATCTTTTGTTACTAATATTGAAGTTCATCCCTTTCATCAGTACACTTTCCTCTGCTTCTGTTAGCTTTCTGTCTGACATGTTTACAATCCAATTGGTTTTAGTTATTTGTCTGTCATTCGGAGTTTTGGCTATCATGAGTTTATTAAATGTTTTTATTTGTTTCTTCGTAGGTAGTTTCCTTACGTTTTTGTACAACTTCTAGTATGCTTTCATACTTTTCTTCTTCAATTACTTCTTTCAATTTTTTCATTTACTTCATTAATTAATATCTTTCCTTATCGTGAATAGCTTTTGTATAATACCACGTAGGTTTTCTTTGATGCATATTTTTGAGGCATTTGTGAGCACTGTATTTGCTTTATCAGTAGATATCGGTGATTTTAATCTCATGTATACAGGAATAATTCCATTTTTTTAGGCATCTGATATTGAAAATTCTATGGTTTCTAAATCGAGATTCAGCTTGATATAAATGTGTGAGTTTGTTGGCCAGTCTTTTAATGGAAAGACCATAAGTTGGATTAATGTCAGTGAAAAGTCTGAGCATTGTGGAATAGGTCAGATAAAGTATAAATATAGGTCAATAGTTTACCTGACTCATTCATCTTACAGAGCCATTCACAAAATTAACGAAAAATACTCACCACAAATCAATGTGTTTCTGACTTCATTTTAATGACTACATATACGTCAAGATGCCGGAGTGATGTCTGTCTGTCTGTCTAGATTCAACATAGAACTTGCCACCGAAGTGCAGCAGTTCGAGTTGCCACCTTCCAAATAGCACACAGAGGTAGACAAGAAGATG